CGTAAGCATCACGCCTGGAACATAGGTTAGCGTATGCATTATCCGAATCGTTCCTTATTGTTATTAATTATTCTGGGTATTTTACATCGGAATATTTCCTAGCTTTTTCTATAGTTGCCTTAGAAAACTTAGAAATATTCAGTGATTTATCAAATTGCTATTACTTCGTTAATAAATATCTGAAGGTGTATTGAAAATAATTATTTTCCATAACTGTACAAGAATACATGATATAGAAAAGCGTAATAAAGATGAAAATTTAAAATATTGCTATTATTTTCGACAAAGGCTGTGGATAATTCCCCTTTTTATATATTATGTTTAAAAGCCTAATGATAAACCGAATACACTCGTAACACAAAAGAACTGACATTCATTTTCATCTCTGTACTTGCTTTGAAAGGAAAAAACGATACCCTTGTTACGTCGTCTCTCGCACGTCGGGGAGGAGACATCCTGCATAAAATGAATACCTGATTTATTAATTAAGCTCGGGTAGGTGTGGTTGGTTTAATTTAATATTAGTTACAAATTGGAAAATATTTTCCACCTAAAATTTAACAACATTCAAAAGATATTAGTTTGAAAATTTAAAAATGTTTGCGAAGCTAGTTAACTGTAATTAATTTTTATTTTTTGATACCAATAACTTAATCTCTATTATTGATTCTTCTAATAATATAAAAAGGTAGAATTGTTTGTTTCTCTGCGTAATAGACTTCAAGAGAGGAAGTCTGCAGCAAAACCAGAGTAACCGACAGTCCAACAGATGAGAAAGCTGAAGTTGTAAGGGGCTGGCCATATAGGTCCGACAAAGAACCGACAACCGATGGGATGGGGGAAGAATGGTTTTCGAGTGGTAGCCCCGTATATGTAAGCGAAGTGTAAGATGACTACCACTTAGATGGTGAGACGAGCTGGTAAGAGATGCAGGAAGTCATGGATGCTGGTGGCTTGAGACCGTACTTTGTGGCATTCTTTGGTCTATGTTCAGTCGTGAACTTATGATGGACTGTAGAAATGATCAATCAGTCAATTAATCGATATATTCTAAATAGCACTAAATAAAATAAATTATAAAGAAAGTACAACAGGCAACAAAAAGATTTATGATGATGATAAATAAAATAATAAATATGACAAACTTAATACAATCTTCCATTTTAAGGTGGCGTAAGAATTCCCTTCATTATCTCATATATCTTCTTTATCTCTATTTACAATTTGATCCCCTGTAATATTGATTGCCTTTGCATAAATTCAAATTGCATGCAAAAAGCTTTCTTGTGATGAAAGTATATTGCTTAGACCTAGTCAGCTTCTTGAGACCTATCTTTAGGCCCTCCGGCCTGTTCATCAGTGGACTTGTGAAAGGCTGTAATGATTAAAGTTAAAAGTTTAACTTACAGCCTATATACGTCCCACTCCTGGGCACAGGCCTCCGCTCATTTCTGAGAGGGTTTTAGGGCAAGGAAGTGTCCGCCGCGCTGCCCCAATGCGTAGGTATTGGCGAACTTTTCATGTCTTCGAAATATTTTTCTTCCTATTTCTCAGACATGCAGGTTTCTTCACGATGTTTTTCGTCACCTCCGAGCACGTGGTAAAACAGCACTTAAAATTGCAATTAACAATTTCATTGGTGCCGGCGGGGATCGAACTCGGTTTGCTCGCGTACTGTGAAATTTACAGCGAGCGCTAACCATCTGAGCTACGACGGTTCCTATAATGATTATAATTATATTACTTTCAGGAGTGTTAAAATGTTTATACTCGCATAAAAACCTAAGTCAGGGGTTTGTTAAGAGGACTCCACATAGATTAAGGTTCAGGCCGACCAGATAGCAGGCCTCCACGACCACGACTAGACAGTGCACCGGATTTGTACAAGAGAATATCCATGCTATTATATGTTGAAGGCTTAAAGGCTGAATAACATCATTAGATAATTGCATGCGCAATAATTATAGGAACACTAACACTTAGGAAGTAAGATTTTTTTAACATTGTTAATTATTTTAAACAAATTTGATTCATAAAGAACATACTCTATATGGTTTTATAATTAAAGTAATATAAATCATAACATTGACTTACTTTTTATATTTCTATACTCGGTTTTATAGCGTAAGTTCTCGTCGTGGAGTACTTTGTGTCTTTGTATAAAGTTCTTTGTTGGTACGTAAATGTAGAGAAATAAATCATTTTTGGTAAGTTTTATTACCAGCGACAAAATTTGTTTACATCACGGCGGCTTCTCATCACAAGTTTGTTTTTCGTCGTCGTTTGAACTTTATGCATTATATAAAAAGAATTCATAGCACGTTAACTTTGGAAAACAGACACGATAGTTAATACTGTTGTCATTTTTCGGCGATGCTTGTACTGATAGCCTTTTTTATATTATTAAGCGCAGTAACTATTGTAATAGTGTAAGTATTTAATATATTTGGTATTCATTTCAAAACTAAGACAGATTTACGTTTTATAATTATATTTACAGATGGACACTTTAATTTTTTATTATATTTAAAGGCCCCGTTGCAGCTGTATATTGGCTGTAGCACTGTAGCTCTGACTGTATCCTGTTATACATATTTATTATTTATATGAGTACCTATAATAAAATGTAATGTTTTGACAGCTCGTAAAATGCGACATCTCTAATAATTACTTTTGTTCATGTTTGTTCCCGTGCCTCGGAAAGCACGTAAAACCTTGGTCCTTCGCCTGATCTCTCTCCGGTTGTGTCGGTTTACCGTCCCATCGGATTATGAGAGTGAGGGAATAGAGAGTGCACCTGTGCTTGCACATACACTTGGGCACTATAATCCTGTCCTGCGCCGATGGCTAGCCTCCGTTGAGGCAGGCCGCCGTGGCCGAAATTCGGTCTCATCATCATCATCATCATTACAGCCCTTCACAAGTCCACTGCTGAACATAGGCCTTCCCCAAGTAATGCCACAAAGCACGGTCCTGAGCCACCTACATCCATCGACTTCCTGCATGTCATACCAGGTCGTCACTTCATCTAGTGGGGGGGGGGGGTTGCCCTACACTACGCCTACCGGTACGAGGCTGCCACTCGAGAACCTTTCTCAGAAATTCGGTCTGGAGGACATTATTATTAATCACTTTTGTACTGTGTAAACTACTACGGGATTTCCTTGTTATATTTTCTTTTATATGGACAATGCCGATTGATATGGATGTGCAGCTCTATACGTCTTGCATGGGATTAAGCATTTGTCATCAATATCATTATTGATTTATCCTCCACCAGAGGCACAACTTTTAACCATGTTCTTTCAAAAAGTTCATAGCCAATTTTAAGCGTAGGATCGATTCTTTCAAAAAGTTCATAGCCTATTTTTTAGGGGTAGGATTTTCCTTAAACTTAAATGAAACCATTTTTAAGGTACATAATCGCTTTAATAAAAACGTTATCATTGAAAGAAAAAGAAGAAAAAGACGATATCGCGAACTTAACAGAAAAGAACATACAGTCGAATGGAAAACTCCAGCTAAAATTTGGAAAAAATGTTAATATAGCTGACTCGTGATGTATATGTACGATTATTATTTTAATTTCTACTCTTTTAAGACAATTAAAACATTAAAGTAGAGTAAACACTATATTTGACCCGTATTTAATTCGGTCCTAATTAATAGTGACATAGCTATTCAGCGTTAGTCTAATCCGATCGTTAGGTAACCGCAACTGGTCGGTAATGGATTGCTAATATTAGCTGAATCGAGCTTACGCCGTATCCCCTCGCCATCCCGGATAAGCCGACTTCATTCGTCTTTTCTCCAGCCCTAGAAAAGCTCGTCGGGGGAGGAAGGGTGTTGAAACAATAAGTAAAGTACTACATGTATAGGGCCTTCAATGTTAGGTGGGATTAAATTCGTATTCACGAATTCGTTTCACTGTTTGCCTAAACAGTTTTAAAATTTTTCATATAATTGCTCGTACTGTTAAACTGTTTTACACATAAAACACGCCTGTCACCCAGAGGAGTAGGCAGAGACTACAAACTACAATTTGGCACGATCCTGACACACCTCTCTCGCCTCCTCCACATTCCTAAACCTACGCATACATTCTCATCGGTTAAGGATACTCCTAATTTGACCCATTTTCTATATATCGCAAATTTTGGTCGATAAACTTTCGCCTAGGACGTCCCTTTCCGACTCTACCATTCACTTCTACAACATAAATTTGCTCTGTCACTCTTTCCTCATTCACTCTTTCTACATGACCAAACCGCCGAAGCATTTCTTTTTTAATCTTGCTCACATCATCTTGCAAACCACGCTCTTCTCTTATCACACAATTTCTCACCCTGTCACTCAGATTCAGCCCTAACATACTCCTTAACGACCGCATTTCTACTCTCGTTTATTCTACACTCGTGCTTCTTCTGCCACACCCTACTTTCACTACCATACGTTAAAGTAGGGACTAACACAGCATTGTGAATTGCTATACGTGCCTTTTTTGATACATTCTGACTTTCCACAATAGGTTGTAGAGCCCCATTTACTTTATTTCCTGCGTTCACTCGTCGTTCGATATCCTTATCATATCTCCCATTCCTGCTAAATTTTAACTGTTTTCTAAATATATATTTATTGTACAATTTAAAAACGCTGAAATGTTTAATATGTGTAAATTATTTTTAATCATTTGGTTTTATTTAAAGTGATATATAATATTTATCCTTATAATAAAATTAAAAACATAAAATAGGTCGGGAGGTCGCAAGAAGTGGACGTGTCGCTAGATATTTTAAAAATACGAGTTACAATTGCTTACCAATTTTAAATCTAACGTGAACGTAACTAAATCAGTTATTGATTGTACTGCGCTAGTGATTTACAGCTTGGCATACCTACGTAGCACCACTTCGGGTAAAAAAGATAAGCTCTTATTTTCTGTCTTGCTTCCGTATCGTAGCACGCGACGCTCAACTATCGTGAGTACACCAAAGATCAACATGAATGTACACCGATCCCCTACTGGAAGTGACACTATTTCGGCACGATGTGGTTCTTACCCAGATCTAGCAAGCAAAATCATGTGTCAAGATAAAACTGAGTCATCACAGATAACTTTCCGCAATAAACGAAAATTAGAAAATGAAAACGATGATTTAAAGAATGAATTTGCAGAAATGAGAAAACAAATGACGTCAATGCAAAACCAAATGAGTGAAATGATGACATATCTAACAACAACCACTAATATGCAAGTCGAAAATTTCAAAAAAATCAACGAGGATGTCTCGACTATAAAACAACAAATAAGCGATATTAAATTAACCACTGAAATATTAACTGAAGAACAAACAAAACTAAAAATTGAAGTGGAAAATCTAAAAAAATAGCAATATTATTACGGAAAAGAAAATAGAATTAATTCAATATAATCTTCTACTTCAAGATACAACTCAATCATGCTCGTCCTCAGTATTGAATGCGTAAGAAGAGATAGTAGCCGAACTCAACGAAAGTACTATCAGTAGCAAAAATATAATAATCGCTGGTATGCCAGAGTCAAAATCTACCAACCTAAATGCGAGATACGAAGAAGATAAAACTGCAGTTCTAAAAATCATCAATACTGTATTGCCTGGTGGCTTCACTGAGCCACAGAAAATTTATCGACTGGGAAAATATCAATCAGGTAAGGAAAGACACCTAAAAGTTTATTTTACATCTCAAGAAACATCAAAATGAATACTTAAGAATAATAAAAACTTAAAAGATGATAAATTTAAGATATTTTCCGACCAAACACCACAACAACAGAAGTATATGATTATTACTTTAAAACAAACACTCGAGCAGCGCACGGCAAACGGTGAATAGAATCTTTGTATCAAATATATAAAAGGCGTACCCAAAATAGTAAAGACGTCAAAAAACCTCCATCAACAGCATTCATAAAGAAAATCATTGAGAATGTAAAGTCCAACAGAGTATCGTACCAAACTAGTTGCAAATATACTGATATAATAACTAATAAAAATTCACGTGTCTTCATTGTCTTTATTCTAATTATGCTCATAGTATTGTCAGGCCTGGTAAATTCGATGAACTTGCGTGTGTTATACAGTCATTTCCTTATCAAATACATATTATTATACTGACCGAAACATGGCTGAAATCAGAGGAGTAGGCTAAAAGATTCCAACTAACGGACTACACTCACTACTTTAATATCAGATATAATAGCAGAGGCGGTGGTGTATCAATTTTTGCTCATAATTCACTTAAGCACAATTTAATAGAAGAAAGCTCACATTGCGATAACCATATTCTCTGGGTTCACATAAACAAGTTTTCTCTAGACATAGGTGCCGTCTACAAACCAGAACGCACTAACAACAAAAATTTCTTGGAATACTTCTCAGCACAGTTAGAACAGAAAAAAAGAGGCTTGGTATTTGGAGATTTCAATGTGGATCTCCTAAGCTCTGATGGATCAGTCGTTGAATATAAAGAAACAGTAAAAGAATGCGGTTACCATTTCTTAAACAAAATAGATAAACGCTACAGTACTCGTGAAACAAGCAAAACCAATACATTAATAGACCATGTCTGCACAAATCTGAAACAAAATCTCTTTCACTTAGCCGTCATAGAATCCAATATGTCTGATCATAAGCAAATATATTTGGAAGTTATAAATTGTAAGCCTGAACCTATAAAATCAACTGTGTATCAAGCAATTGACTATGTAAATTTATACAAAACTGTGGAAAAAGTAAATAGTTATAATAACTCGAACTTAGACTATAATGTCTTCGAACAAATTCTTATATCCTCTATACAAAAAAATAAAATTACAAAAACAAAAAAGAATAATCTGCTGAAACAAGACTGGATACAAAACGATATTATTAAAGCAATAGAAAAAAGAAATACGTTAAGGCTTAAATTCATAAGAAATCCCTCAAACAAAGAAATAGAAGAGGAATTTTTAAAAGAAAAACAAAATTTAGTACGCAATATACAAAAAACAAAAAATCAGTACTACTACAAATTATTTATGAATTGCGAAAACAAATCAGCAAAAATATGGACCTTAATAAATAAACTTTCGTACAACAAAATAAAGGAAACTACGTCTCCAGCTAAACTCCAGACAGAAACTACCGTGCTGACAGATCCTTTAGAAATATGTGAACATTTTAACCAGTACTTTTCAACCATCGGTGAATCCTTGGCAAGTGAAATACCGTCTTCCTTTCATCACGATAATATCTTCACTGCTAATAAACATACGGTGCTATCGGAAGACCAGATGTTGTCACAACTGAACCCTACAACTACAGAGAAAGTCCTCAAAATCATCAACACCATAAGTCTTAACACAGCGTCAGGTATAGATGGAATCAATACTAAATCTGTCCAGTGTGTTAAAAACCTAATTGCCCCAGCACTTACAAAATGTATAAATAAATGTTTGCAATCAGGTATCTTCCCATGTAGTCTGAAAATAGCCAAAGTCACTCCAATCTTTAAATCTGGAAATAGGTACAACCCTAGTAATTATCGACCTATATCAGTTCTTCCTGTGATCTCAAAGGTATTTGAGAAAATCTTATACAACCGTCTACAAACATTTTTAGAATCAAACAATTTCTTATATGACAAACAGTATGGCTTTAGGCGAAAATCAAACACTCTATCAGCAACCATAGACCTTACTACAAAAATAAAACTTAATATTGATCAAAAACATATTGCATTAGGCATATTTATAGATCTAAAAAAGGCTTTTGATACCGTTAGTCATGATTTACTACTTAAAAAGTTAAAACACATTGGTATCACAGGTGTAGCCTATAATATGTTAAAATCTTACTTAACAAATCGCAAACAAGTAGTCAGAATAGACAATTTTCAAAGTAAATCTAAAACTGTGACATACGGCGTGCCACAAGTATCCATACTAGGGCCGTTATTATTCTTGATTGGTATAAATAACTTAAAAGATATTGGCCGAAAAGGAAACATAACGTTGTATGCTGACGACACAAGCCTATTCTCTTTCGGCCACTCAATAAATACTATTATCTCTGATGCGTAAAATGACCTTAACTTAGTACATAAATGGTTCTAGTACAATCTTCTAACAATAAACATCTCCAAAACCAATTATATCATATTCAAAGCAAAAAATAAGAAAATATTAGACTTTGAACCTCTAAAAATAAATAATCAAATTATCAAACGGTCAAATTGCGAAAAATACCTTGGCTTATTTTTAGATGACAAACTTATATGGAAACCTCAGATAGATAAAATTAAATGCAAACTATCATCGATAACGGGTACTCTTCGAAGAATAGCTCGTTGTTTCCCGCGTAAAATACATTATCTTATTTACAATTCTCTAGTCAAACCACATATCGATTATCTGATAGAAATATGGGGCTCAGCTGCAAAGAATAACTTGAACCTAATACAAAAAGCTCAAAATAAAGTTATAAAGGTTCTATTCAACTATAACTATCTGACACCAACTCACAAAATATATAATGATACTAAGCTGTTAAATATAAATCAATCGTACGTTTATCATACATGCATTCTGATTCGTAAAATAATAAATAAAGATATCCACACTTATTTAAGTTTCACTAAAAAGAGACAATATCAAAAAATTCTGCTAAGAAATGCAAATGATCTCATTTTACGTGCACCAAGAACTAGTTATGGTAAAAGAAACCTAGTCTTTGAAGGAGCACAATTATATAATAAACTGCCTAAAGACATTAAGGAATCGCATTCAAATGTAAGCTTCAAAAAATTACTAAAATATCATATTATAAAATCTATAAAATAACGGAATTACTATTAAGTTAAAAATATTAATAATAATCAATAAGTATTTTAAATATATTTAATTTTTTTGTTCATTACTAATTCTAATTAAATTAAAATATTACTAAATATGTATCTCAAGCCGCTTCTTGTAAATTGTTGAGCATAGTGCAACTATATATCTGTGATTGTATCTTTCTCTGACGCTGTGACTGTTTTTAACTGTATGTATTTGTAATGTACCCCCAACTTCTGTGTTTCTCCAGATATTGTTATAACTTATAAATTTTTATGTTCTCATGATAAGTGAATTTTGTATTCTTAATGAGAATAAAGTTCTTAAACCACAACCACAAAAACTAAAATGATCTTATAGTCCCCGGTAGAGGTAGCATTTGCGTGAAAAACCAGCACTATTGCAAGGACTAATCGCGGATAAATATCCTATTGGGTACTCTTATGATCTTCAACGCAAGTGGATGTGGATCCCACGGACTAATAGTGGGACTAGATTGACACACACACACACACACACACACACACACACACACACACACACACACACACGCACATCCTATACTTCGCTTAGTTTATCAGTTCTTCGAGCTATGTGGCTGACACATTGTCATTTAAGCTTACTACTCCCTTTAACTATATCAGTTATTCTGGTTCTACTGGGCATATTCTCATTTTGAATTATATTACGTAGAGAAACTCCGTGCATAGCTTGCAAGGTGATCTTGCGATCTAGAGCTTTCTCATACGGCCAGCGTTGATGACCACGTATTGGATCCTTGTCAACACTGGAAATACGCACTAGTTATAAAGTCTTCTTTTTAAGTTTTCACTTCAATATATCGACATGGAATAGTTAGCGGGATCAAATTTCGACTGAGTCGAAGATCTTCTCATAGCCAACATACGTCTGACATTTCGGCTATCTATATTTAATATTCAGTCTTTTGTATATACAGTCTAAGGCAGAGTTCCCTAAACTTTATGTCGTAGACCCCTTGCCATGTTTTTCCGTATTGGGTAGACTCCCTACTTACCTGATATTGATTTCCTAACTGTAGTGAAGTTTAGTGTTAAAAACTTAAAGTAAAAACACATGTTAATTTATACATTTATTAATTGAATTTAAATGAAAACTAGTCAAAATAAAATGTTGTATCTGTTATATAAAATATACGTAGCATTAAATAAACTATAAATGTAATAAACTATAAATGTCTTATCCGACACTATTCCGATGATATCCCGGACGTCAGTCTGAGCGAGATTATAATGGCTCTCCAGCACCTTAAAAACGGCAGGGCCCCAGGCGAGGATGGAATTACAGCGGAGCTTCTGAAAGCGGGTGGAACACCGGTACTTGAAGTCCTTCAGAAGCTCTTCAATTCCGTCCTCCATGGTGGCACTACTCCGGAGGCGTGGAGCAGAAGTGCGGTGGTCTTGTTCTTTAAGAAAGGCGACAACGCTCTCTTGAAGAACTACAGACCGTTTTCCCTTCTGAGCCGCGTCTACGTGCTGTTTTCGAGAGTCATTACGA